ATCTCTCGATCCAACGATACTATAAACAAGTATTTATATTCAAGAGCCATAGGAAGATTTCGAACTTTGTTTTAGTGAATCTATCAATTAAATCAGTAATTGCTTTATTTTACTAGCCTAGCTATGGCCTGAAGATACCTGAATAAAAATGGCTGTCTCACATTCATTCAGTAGTGTGCAGTTTTTCTCAGGAAATCTATACTTTAACCAAATATCGATATTGGTGAATTAAGTAGTCTATCAAACAATGAACGAGATTCTCATTATTCAATTTGATAGTACTTTATTCACCACTGAAACTGGTGAAAAAAGCAACAAATTATTTTCAAACCGATATGCATGTGAAACGCATCAAACACTTCAGCTTATCAATCGCATTCTCTCTACTACTCATCTCAATCTGTACTGGGACGAGGAAAGGTGGCAACGCAGCTGAAGTGGTTATGACAGATGGCTCAGTGGATAATGCTTTGGTGTTTGAAACTATAGGTACTGGTTTCGGGTCTCAGTGGGAACACCGTCACTCATTGGGATGCAGATGTATACAGCTGACGAGTACCTAACAGGGTGAAACACAAGTCCTGGACTCCACTGATAACAACCGAGTAAACTACATGATTGTGATGATGAACGGAAAGTTTTATATCATTCATTCATTCACATATCAGTTAAAGGGAAACTGAAAGTCAGGCAGTAGGTGTACCCTAGGAATTTTGTTTCAACTTCAGTTATCACCTCATAACAAGTTTACTATTTAGCAGAAAGAAATGTGAAACATTTTGTGCAACAAAGAAGTCGAAACGGAAAAAAAAGCGAAATAATGAATATACACAATATGTTTCACTTGAGTGGCATACACACTCATGCATACATACATACAGATATGTGATCAGTATTTGAGGGAACAAGCTCAGTTCATTATGAAATATGCATTGAATAGGAGTTGAGCTGCATACTTTCATGTTGTGCTGAATTTCATCTACCTGTCTACGCTTATGTTTTTGTATAACAATTAAATATCATACTGAACAAAGCATTGGATAATGGTTATGATGATCAATTAGACAATAGAAATTATCCGATAGTGAATATTATATATATATACCTTAAGGTAATATTTGTGTAATTTTATTTCTTTTAAGTAGTAGCAATAGTACTGGAATCGAAGAAATGAAAAAATACACATACAGAGAGACAGAAACAGAGATTACAAAATTGTAACTCGTACTAATATTTTACCTGTAGAATGAATAGAAAATTCTTTCATATAACAAAGTGTGCTTTAATCGACCTATGGGACAGCATAGTAAACATCTTTTCATTATTATATAAAACACGCGTTCTGATAAGTCAATCACAATGGAAAGCATCACTTCACTAACATTGCGATACATTATTCTCTTCTTTTCAAGCATAATTGGAAGAGATATTTGTGAACTACGAATAGTTCTCAGCCATTTACTCACCACCTTCGACTGATGACTCTAATTCTCCACAGAGTGTATAGAACATTAGTTGTCTATGATATCATGTAACTAGACAACTTTTCAAGCGATTTACAGTTCCAAGTATCAACAATTTATTTCCTTTACCGTTGACAATACGTTGGACCAAAATCTTGCGATCTACCGTTTATCATTGAAAGGCATGATTGCTTTTAATGCCCTGGCTTAACTTAGCTCAATGATAGGTAATTAGAGCCAATAAACTAGACGGAATTGTAGCATCAGTAAAACTGTTCCACATGTAGGCCGGTGGGGATAGCATACGTAAAACATGTTTCAGTGACAGAAGCTTACATTTCAAATCAACTTGATTCACTCGATAACGACATAGACTATGAATAAACAGGTAGTCAGATCCCAATGCTACTTAAAGATTATTGCCGCTGAATGTCAACAATACTCCAGAAGTGACAACAGTTGAAAACCTCTAGGAGTTACAAGCTTCGCTGCTAATGAATTCGATCAGCGACTATCAGCAGTATTACAGACTTCAGTGCAAATTGAATACAATCACTTCAGTCTAATCAAATCAAAGGTCTATCTCTGTGTAAATGTAATCACTCGAATGGTATCCGTCAAAGATACCCAATCTCTCTCTACTCCTACTTTGGCCACAAACGACCATATAATGAATAAAGTCTTGTTACTTTAAGATGCTGACGAGATCTAGAGTTTTCTAGATATCTTGAAGATGTTTGAGATGCGTTTCACATCGCTGAAAAGCAAATTGTTGCTATATGACTGGCCGATGTCGGTGCATTGTCTAATAACAAGAGGGCGGAGTGTTTGAGTACGTTGACCGCTCCACTTAAAAAGGCATCAGTAACAGAGGAGATCTCTGTACGGATACAAAAGGCTCGTTCCATCCTAGCCAACATACGCCATTTATGGTCCTTCCACAATGATATCCGATCACCTGTTAATCTTGATGATGCATAATGCACAGATGGCTAGGCTAAAACATCTCACCATTCGATGAAATTTCTGACTGTTAGTCTAGGCCATGTAGAGAAATGTGTACTTCCCGGTTGGGTTTCGCGTGCCAACCAAAATTAATGGTTGGAAGCTCTATATGATATGCTTCAGAATCTATCTCATTGCCCCAAATGCTTCCACACATTATCACCATCATCATCATCATCATACCAATTTTCATTCTATCCTATCCTTCAGTTACCATTTTCTACCACTACCACTGTTCCCCACCTTGTCACGCTACTCTTTTCAACTTGTCAACTGGATCTACTTGCATACCAGTCAGTGTTGTTTTACCCGCTTACAATTGAGCTCATAACCTGTAGCTTCCAACAGCAGAGTCTTACTCACTAATCTGATGAGTTGTGATAGTTGCATCTTGTTCGACAGTTGGTTGTTGAACCGTTTTATCTTTCTGTAACAGGATGAAATGTGCATCGTGAAATCCCACAACAATATCGATGACATAGATATGTTAGTTGACAGAACTTGAGACCGACCGTTTCAAACGCCAGAGCGTTATCCATTAGGCTACCGGGTCATGATGGCCGCTTCTTGTGCAATGAATATACTTTTAATGTGGTCAAAAGTGACCATATCATTATCAGACTTGCGATTTCTCGATAACTGAATCAGCTTTCAACCCTCAATTCCATATGCGCATGTGCGATTCAGGAGAGAGAGAGACAGACAGACAGACGCAATCGTTAAATGATCAATGCTCAACGTGATCTAAACCAATTTGACAAAATGGTGTTTCAGCGACTGACAATTGTTCAACTGAAATAAGGTCATTTTTCAATAGTTAAGGCTTCAAAAAAATAATCAGGAATGAAAAATTGTGATCTCCACTTCAACATTATACAACAGAATAAAACAATGAATAAAGTCAGATTATAATACTTATGACAAAACAATAAGTGAGTAAACCAGTAAGCAGAAAAAGCTCACTACCAGTTGAACGATTTAACGACGATCCACTTGAGGAAAGAGGTTTATATAAATAACAGCAAAAATTGAAGCGGAGCAGTGTGTATGTGCTTATCTTTGTAGTTAAAAAGGAAACTAAAGAAAATAAACAATTGATTGAATTGTAAGTGAAGTAATGGTAACATGTCGTAATGCCTTTATGTTAACTGCCATCTCACTACATGCTCTATTATGCAGTATTTAATCTCTCTCTCTCTCTATCTCTTTTATTTCGTTTTACTACGGTTTATACAGTCCATTATATGGAAATAGAAAGGAAGCAAAAGTCAAAGAAAAATTCGTATCACCAGCTTCCGGATATGAATTCTACCATGAACCAGGATTTCTTTACACTGTAATCATTATCACTAAGATCAATTTGGCAAAATGAAGTTTGTATTATTGGGAATTCTCTTCTCTTTCGGACAGTTACTTTGAACAAAATTTCCTTCAATATCAGTACCTGATAGTCATCAACAATTACAATCCAATGTACATTGTAGCGCAGAAAAGCTCGGTGATAACATCTGACAGGAGTCGAACTCTAAATCCCAAATACAGTGTAGGAATATGCTTTACAACTGTCCCTTTAGAAAGTATATTTTGTGTGAACTTATTCACAGGCCCTTTGTAGTCGAAGTGGACAGTTCTACTGATATCGTAGACGCAGTCATAGTGTTAGGATTAAATCAGTAACCAATGTTCATGTGCTGTGTGAATGAAAATTTCAAACAAAGGAAAAAGACAAAAGAAACAAGGACTTCTCGTTATATCTTTACTGTTCAAATGTATAAGAGATTGGATATAGATTGATCGGTACAAATTATATGAGATCTGACATAATTACGCGACAGTTCCAAACACAAGAAAACAGAATGAAAATAATAGAAATAAAATAAAGATGTGAGACAATGAAACCTGAAAAAGATGAATAATAGTTACACTTTTGTGAATTCAACTTCTCCTTAGCTTCAATTATTGCTAATTGTAGTCTTTCAAATTTTTCTACATAACTTAAACCAACACTCAAACAGTGTATAAATTGATTTTGGTCTTCATCACTGTCACCCTGAGATTGGATGCAACCAAAAAGGCATTTCTTCATCAACTGAATGATCTCAGTTAAGTGTTATCAACAAATATTCTAATAAAGAATGATATGAATGCGTACGCTGACAGACTAGATATACAGTAGAATCATAGACTAACGTGTATCAATTACGTTGTAACTCTGAGCAGATAGTACTAGTTTCCTGTGCAGATAGATATTGCTTATGTGCTCTATATCCCATAATAACCCCTGGATTCAAGTTCAACACATTGTAGATAGCTACTGATGAAATGGCATTTTAGAAAGAGAGAGGGGGGAGAAAGCATCAGCAATCTTGACAAAAGTGCTCATCACATCGTCTTATAGATATATCAGATGAAGATCATTTTCATGTGGATTAACCACAAATCTAAAACAACTGTTAAATAAGAGAAGCGTGTAAAACCACAATACCATAAATCATAAATCGTAAATAGAAAATCTGTTTCTCCACTTCTCACCTTAAGTGAATCCAAAAGATATTGAAAAATGAGCAGAGGAAAATCACACGGATCCCATAACTGGTGATTATCTAGGTGTCTAGAAGGGAAAAGATGCAACATAAAATTAAATAAAATATGTAATTGAAGCATCCACTAGAAAAGCACTTCACAAAAGTCGGCTAATAGCATGCATGACTAGTGAAAAAACCTAAGAAGGAAAAAAAAAGAGAAAAACTGTAGATGCAGATAGATATGTTAGTTGTTTCTCAGTTTTTCCAAACAAACATTCTCAAGAAGGTGAGGAAACGAGGGCATGATTTTAATGACTACTATGAGAATACACTTAAATTCATAGGGCATCAAGATTATATAATCTACTTGAAGTAAACACAAACCACAACATCCTATACGAATGGTTTTAGGTATATCAAATTCCCTTATACTACAAAATTGTAGAGTGATAAGTCAAGGTCCTATCACATTCACATAAAAATCTAGCCAGGAAGAGTAGAAAAGATGGATTTGATTTAATTTCCAAGTTACAAAATATGAACATGAGGGGGGAGTATATGCTGCTTGTAAATGACTCATCTTTATTCATCCACCAGTTTTCGAGTACAGAACCTTGAACAGGGTAATGTATTTACTTGGAACTCTTCTTAGTGAGACACTGCCGCAAGATATTTTTATCAACGGTGGTAACTGCTAACTTCAGGTAGAGGAATGCAGCTGGTGCCGGGCGTCTGTGTTTCAGAACCAGCAGCGGGTGAATATCTGATTCATATACCGACGGTGGTGAGGTGTGAAACCTGTCTGATTTTCTCAGGTTCGTTGGTCCCGAGCTCCATTTAAGCATTATATTCGTCAGACTGGTTCACCTGAGGACATCAATAGGGATTTTTCGCCTTTCTTGAAGACTTGGACAATCAGTGATTGAGGTTCATGTGTGATTGGCATACACTAGATGACGTTTCAATAAATCTGACCAATAATACGCAATCATAGCCCTTAAATATCTCTGATACCTGTCCATTCGATCCTGCTACCCTTCCTGGTTTCGGCTTAATCACAGCCTTCGGCAAGCGTTGCAGGTCGTATCTTGATGTTTTGTTAATGGTAATAATAATAATCACTTTATTCTAAGCAATTTTTGATACAATTTAGAATTCTCAGCATGTACTAACGCAAGAGAAATATATTCCTTTACATTTCGAATAGTGTTTAGTTACAGCAACTTAAATTGTGTAAATAATAATGATGAATAATAATATTAGCAGCGAGGGAAATTGTACATTAACGGTTACAGTATTGGAAAGACTGATTATTTATTGTTACAATGTTGATTAGCGAGTTCTGTTGAAAAACGTTTTTCCTCACATAAGATGCTTGCTAGGTAGGGGAACAGTTAAATTCTTATATTTAGCCACACGACTAAACGGTCTTATATGATCCCTTTTTGTCCTCCCTAAGAAGATACAAGTAGAGGGCTGTGAATAAAATGGATGTTCAGTTGACCATAATCAAGATTAGACTGAAGAACTTCCAATTTAGATGTATTGTTTTTTAATGAGAATAGTTGTTTTCCTAACTTAATGAACCGGATATCAAAACAAAACCACATATAAAGAGACTGATGACTTCATTGTTTGAAATAATTCCTTTGACCATTCTTCGGAAGACTGATTTTTGATGCTATCTCAAAGCAGGTTTAAAGAGAAAGAGTGGGTAATATTTTATTACACAGATTCCTTACTTAAGAATACAAATTAAATCAGTGAAGAGAAATTTTCTTTCCGATGAGTTATTTTCAGCAGACATACAAACGTATTTGTGGTAATAAAAAACAAACGGATTAGTCTAATAATGTTGTTACTTGTAATATCTCATCTTTGTGTGGGTCGAATTGATTGGTCTCTGTTGGCATATAGGCTCCTGCGCGGATGCGTCGATACTGCCTGTGTTCCAACCATATATTAATGATGGATAGTAGCTAGAAGCGGAATCCAGCTTGATGCGCGTTTCGTCCTACCTAGGACTCGTCAACCACATTTGCCTGCCTCCCAGTGAGTGTTGTTCCCACTGGGACTCGAACTCGGGAGCAACCCGAATCCCTTGGATTCCACTATGCATCATTCATACATAACTCAAACAAAGGCAATATCGAGGCATCCGCGCAAGAGCCCATACACCAATAGAGACCTACCAATTCGGTCCACTCAAGAACGGGATAATACAAGTAACAACATTATCTTTATTATAATCAATAGTTTTGTTTACCTAAAACCTATAGTTACTTAGTGTGCACCTTGATCAAACTATCGAGTTAACTATTAATTGTTCTGTTCGAAATGATGTACTCCATCCCTAGTCTTTTTATTTTCCATCATCAATTTGTTACCCTATCCAAACTAATCTTAGTTCTGTTTGACATAACTAAATTATTCACTCCATGTTGGCATGCCTCATTCAATGTTTTAGTCTGTATTATATATATATATATATATATATATATATATATATATATATATATATATATATTGCATAACAGTATATAAAATCATGTATGTAGTGTAAAAAGCTGACGAGTTCTACTGAAATTTATGAATTCGATAAATCCTGCTTTAATTACGTTTATTGCTTGTTTAAATTTGTATCGGGAAACAAATGTTTTCGATATTTTTCATTTCTATTATTGTCTAATGATGACTACATTTTGACAGACAATAAGGATAGTCAGTCTATATGATAATATAGATTTATTCTACATTGTGTCGATTTCGACAAATAACAAAAGCTAGTGGATTACAAATTTATTTGGATGAACGTAAGATTTGTTTTTAAGACTCAGCTACATTTCCATCTTTTATAACAGGAGTAGAAAGTAACAGACCATAAGTTATATAAATTTCAGACAAGAAAATTAAACAAGCTGATGAAGTTGCAAACGTGTATCAGCTAAGGTAGACACCAACCTGTGTTAGTCAAGCCTCAACTTGTGAATTTAGTTGCAGTATAAATATGGTGGTGATTATTATTTTGGTCGCTATTTGTAATCCTCCATTTTTATACTGGATCGAATTAATCGATCTCTTTTAATATATATGAGCTTCTTTGAGAACGCTTTGATATTGTTTGAATATCTATTGTTACAATTGACTTGGTTGTGGTCTAGTGGATAGCCCTTTAGTGTATGAAGCGATGGGTACGAGGTTCGAGTCTTAGTAGACATCATTTACTTGGGTCTATGCACATCCAGCTGACAAGTTGCGAATAGGACGAAAGGCGCATCCTGCATTCCTTTGCTGGCCACAACCAAGTCAATTATAAGAATAAATATGGTGTTGTTGGAAAAATAAGGTATGGTGTCAGTTCGTATGGTCTTTGATGTAGAAGTAACATAGATATTTTGTTGTGGGATTTCATGATGCACATTTCATCCTGTTACGGAAGATAAAACGGTTCAACAACCAACTGTCGAACAAGATGCCACTATCACAACTCATCAGATTAGTGAGTAAGACTCTGCTGTTTGAAGCTACAGGTTATGAGCTCAATTGTAAGCGGGTAAAACAACACTGACTGGTATGCAAGTAGATCCAGTTGACAAGTGAAAAGAGTAGCGTGACAAGGTGGGGAACAGTGGTAGTGGTAGAAAATGGTAACTGAAGGATAGGATAGAATGAAAATTGGTATGATGATGATGATGATGGTGATAATGTGTGGAAGCATTTGGGGCAATGAGATAGATTCTGAAGCATATCATATAGAGCTTCCAACCACTGAGTATGGTTGTTACGCGAAACTTTATCTTACTACAAAACATTCGCAGGTCAGCTAATAGATATTCTACCTTGCTCCAAACACATGTTTGGCAATGATGATATTCAAACCATAATTAGAATCAGATGGATATATGTCTACAATTTGATCAATAATATATTTACTTAATGTTATCTGTATATATTACAATAAAATGATTCTAACAGCAACTCCAAGTTCTGCTCCATATGACTCAGGTTATTTTTGCTCTGGTCCGCTTGAACTACTACTAGGTTACATCATTTAGACAGTAAGCTAATTTGACATGAAAACTGTTTAATAATAACCGGTTTTCACTTCAAACAACTAATAAATACTATCAAAAAGAATAAGCAACATTAATAAGGGATAAGTGCTTGAACTCAGTTAGAGTGAATATTTAACAAGTCCTAAATAGGACGAAATGCACATCTGGGATTCCACTACTAGCCACTATCCATCATTACTGTATTTAACAGTAGTTGGCAAAATGCTTTATATAACCAAGATTTTATAATTTGTTGCATTCAATAGGAGCGTTACTGTATGCGTGTGAGAGAGACGGTTAGTGGGACTACCTGGTAGCCTAAACCTCAGTAGGCGCAGTAGGGTTCGAATCCATGACCCAATGGTTGAAAGTCATCTTCTTAAACCAAAGAAACACAGCTTCACAACTATGAGAGCCATGAACATCCTTCACCTATTCCTGTAGTCAGTCAGTCAGTCAGGCTACAAGTGATATCCAATAATCAGTCATTGGAAATATGCACATACACTTCAGTAGGATGAATATACACCTGGTGATGCCTAGTTCAATGCTGTTACCAAGCATCTGGAGTGATTACTATCTACTCTGTTCAGAATGACATAATTTATTGTCAACCTACTTAGTTTGAACATCCACTTCAACCTTTTCACATTATCACCTAACCTATGAAAATTGTTCATTTTTATGTTGCTACCCCTTAACTCGTGTATCAGTCTATGTTATGTACGTAAATCTGCTTTTCTGTATTGTCTTATGGTTGGTATATTTAATCAAGGATGTAGAATGAGTATCCAGTTGACGATTTTTTGTTTTTGAATTCATTAAATCTTCTTTTTTACATTTACACCTGACTGCTGACCGAATTATTACAGGTCAGGAATGCAACAAGAATATCAAGCTAAAAGATTTCTAATAGCAGTGAATTTTGATATATATCAGGCAGTAAAAGCGGATTAGCAAAAGGTGTACCTCCAAAGGCGATTGATAACCCCCTAGGAATAAATCGAAAAACGGTTGAAGTAAACAAAATA